ATTATAGTGGCGAAGTCTTCGTGCAGTACCATCCACACTTTTTGAAGGGCCGAATACAGAGACCTGGTTCACGACGTGCCACAAGGTCTCTAAACGACCCCCCCCCCTCAGGTTTTGAATTCACGGTGGGGTAATGGATATCGGCTTGGATTGTGGAGTTCGAATCCAGGTTGAATCCATTACATTCACTTACGTGCTAATACCCTTGGGAAAGGTGTGAATCCTCTTCTTCTCCCTCCAGCTATGGGTTAAATAGAAGGACAGACTGGGTTCTATAGCCTTGGGTGGCAACTCGTCTAGGAGAAGGACAACTCTGAATATATATATATATATATATATATATATATATATATATTGTTTTTCACCTCAAGCAATGCGGAACTGCCACTAGCACGTAAGGGGTTACTGAGAGGGAGAGCAAGAGTAAAGAGGGGTTGTTTGAAGAAATGATATAGATGAAGACGTGGATCGAGTTCATGGCGTCATAAGATTTCGACCGACATTTGAATATCTGAACATTACAGCTATCAAGCGTCACACATTTTGAAATGGAAAGTCAAACTATTATTTTAAGACATTTTTATGTTTATACATTCTTTTTATAGATACACACATTGTATGTCTCCGCAAAAAAGAATGTGGACAAAAATCTTCCGACAATTGAAATTTAAGACATTTTTTTATGTAGCGAAAAAAAAAACATATTTTTTATTTATTATTCTTTTTATAGATACAAATATATATATATACGTTGTTTTCATGACTAGTTTCCCCCAAAATATACGTGAGAGGTTCATGGAAGGTTTAAGGTTTATAGAAAGGTCCATCTTGAAAAGTAAAAAAGGTTGTTTTTTGGGGTTTCAATACATTCTTTTTTATAGATACAAATAATCAGATATGAAAAGATCATGGAAGGCACGTTAGGCGAAAAAGGCACGTTAGGGTGTTAAATGACGGTTCCGTATAGGATACATGTTCGATTTCTGTCGGAGGACGAATATTTTCTATGAAAATTCCTCGGACATTCGGGCCGGTAAATGTTATTAATCCTGTTTATTATAAAGCAGAGCATTTACTTAAATATCAGTATCTATAAAAAGAATGTATAAACATAAAAATGTCTTAAAATAATTGTCGGACTACGTCTATTTCATATATATATATATATATATAGGCATGTTTGGATAAATAATTTAGACGTATTACGTCTATTTTTTTTATTTTAATCCTTTCAAGTTCACGAATTAATTTCTTGATGGCTGTAGAAAATTGATGAAGAAAAATCTAAAATTTTCTTTGAAATAAATTATTTCAAAGGAAATTTTAGATTTTATTTTCTCAAGTACTTTCAATTTCATCTGAGACTATCTTCATCTGTGACTATATGCTGCATATATATATATATATATATATACAGGGATAATAAAAAGATAAGAAGAAAGACCTCCTTCTTTCGCCCTTTCTTTGATCAATCCTGTTTTATTACCCCTTAAGCAGAGGAATATTTTCTCCACAAGTCCAAGAAAAATTTCGATTACTACAACACAAAAAGACAATCGTTAAACATCTTAAAACAAGGAAAATTAATCCCTTTTAAAAATATGTGGAAATAACCACTCCTTGCCTGATGAAGGTCGAGAGACCAGAAACGTGTGTAGCAAAAGTATGGAAAATAAAGTATAATATATATTTTAAAAATCCATATTGTAACCGAAAACGTTTGCGGCTTCCCTTTTTCCTTTAATATATACACTTTTCTCTTGTTGGAACAATTACAACCTCTTCCTTATATATATATATATATATATATATATATATATGTGTGTGTGTGTGTGTGTGTGTGTGTTGTGTTCGTGATGTGATGTATCTGTGTGTTGGTACGCAAAAATCCATAAGAAGAAATGAGTGGGGGCGTGGTTTCATTGGCAGATCGAAGCGAACATCGAATATCATGTTAAAAGATGCAATCATTTGACGATATCTTCACAGACGAATACAGAGAGGAAAGGCGGTGACAATGGAAGGATGTATGAAGCTTTAACGCGGATTTGAGAGGTATAACAACTCAAAAAAAAGAAATGCCGGAATATTGAATGGAGGCGCTGATCGGACTTCGAGTTGAAAGGCTAAGAAATTAAGAAGTAGGTACAAAGGTGGGGGTGGGGGTTGTTCAGTAACAGAATGGATAATCGTAGAAGTCGCTGGTGTGTGTCTTGTTAAAAGGGCTCAAGAAAGGAAAAACTGCCGGTGTATTGATGTCTTTGTGTGTTGAAGTGTGTGTGTGTGGGGGGGGGTAGCAATGACATATTTTTTTTTTAAAATATTTCTGTATTTCCTTCATTTTTTTTTCATTCTTTTCTTTCATTTTTTTATTTCGCAACGTTGTTTTTCTTCATTATTTTTCATTTCTTCCTCTTTCTTCTTTTTTCTTTCTTTTCCTTTCTTCGTTTTTTTTTTCCTTTATTTTCTATTTTCTTTCTTTTTTGGATTTTTTTCTTAG